GGCGGGCGCGGGGGTTACGCCGCCGCGGGGCCTGCCAGGCACAAACCACCGGCAGAAGGAGCGGCCTCCCCCGCCCGCCTCCGGGTCTGAACACAGTTCAGGCAAATTGCTGCCCGATCGATAGAGCAAAATGAAAAGTGCTCTGTGTCCACGTACACGGTGGGGGTGGAACAACCTAATGGCAGTCGGTCATCGCAATTAAAAGCCATTTCATATTGGGACATGAACTGGACCCCGAAAAGGTACTTAATAAGGTTAACGGAAGCTGAATTACAGCATGTATTGTCAGACGCCCCCGCCCCCGCCGCGCGCGACTCCGAGCTGTTTAATAGTATAGAATTTGATACCGAGCAAAATGGCTATAAATAAAATCCTATCTGGTAGTTTTGATCAATTAAACTACGTAATTAACAAAGATGGTCCATTTGTCTCTGGCCGTCTAAGCCGCAGCGCGGAGTTGGAGTTCCTGTACTGGAAGACTAGTTTGTTTAGAAATGAGAACATTCTCCGTGATTTACTGGATCTGATTTAAAAGACACAGCAGGAGTTGGCAAAACCCGCATATCACGGGGTTAATGTGGGTTAGAATGCAGCTATTTGTAATACAAAAATATCGCATGCCAAACACACACATCTGATTCCTCCGCGCCGAACCCTCTGCGGAAGCCGCTCCTCGGCGGAAATGAGCGACGCGGGCGCGGCCGGCGCCACCGTCGCCACCGTCCGGACAGAGCGCGCCATTTCCGGTGTGCAAGGCCAGGGAAGGCCGCGTGGGCGGCGGCCCCGCGCCGCAGGCCCGGCCGAGACGCCGGGTCCCCGCAGGAGCAGCAGCGGCTGGCCCACAGCCTGCGTCGGCCTCTCCCACGGCTCCTGAAAGACCCCCAGCGCCCGCCGAGAAGCCCGCTCGCACGCTCAGCCTCCGGGACCCCAGGTGGCCTGGCCGTCCCACGGCCTCCGTCTCAGAAAACGCAGGCGTGCGCTCAGGTGCCGGCCTGCCTTCACCCGGCCCTGCCGGCGTGACGCCACGCCCCCGCGCACCAGATGCCGCCCGGAGCCGCACCGAGGCCCCACTCGCGCGGCACTTCCTGCCCCGACCCCATATGTACACTGGCAGCAAAAAAAATCGGGGGTCCCAGGAAGATAGTTTTACTCTGCAAAGAAACATGTTTGTTAAGACTCGGGGGTCCTGTCACATGAGCCCTGCGCAGTAACGCCCCCGGTAGGTTCTAGTTTTATTAGCTGTCCCCAAGGGCAACACTAAGGCTCCTCCCACCTCGGGGACCCTGGGGTCCCCAGCCTAAGGGAAGTGCCCCCCGGCACAGAGCACGTGCCGATGCCCTCAGCTCGGAGGGCGTGGGCTCCCAGGCGCAGCCCTCCCTGCCCACGCCCCAAGCACCTCCAGGCTCTCCTCCGCCCCGACCCTTGACCCGCCTTCCTGGGGAAGCCAGCGTGTCCGCGTGTCCCCTTTAGGGCCGTGAACAGCACCGGACACACAGGAAACGCTCAGGACGGCTCCAGGCACCGCCACGCCGTCACCCCCCCTGCCCCGACCCGTCTGGAAACGCTGAATAAAATGCGGCAACCGTTGGGTCGGCCGGAGGCCCCTTCCGCTTTCTCCACGTGATGGCCCTCGCAGCGCTCAGTTGTCTCATTCGGAACAATTTTGTTGGGCTCTATTGTGACAGCTGTCATATCAGCGTGCATTTAAAAAAAGACTGACCAAAACTGGTGAATTTGGGGGCAGCCATTTTAATACTAAAGATGGAAGAAAATATGTAACATTCTTGATGTATTATGCTTTATTATTTCAAGAAAGGTACAAATGCAACGGTAACGCAAAAAAAAAAAAAAAAAAAAGATGCGTGCAGTGTATGGAGAAGGTGCTGTGACTGATCAAACATGTCAAAAGTGGTTTGTGAGGTTTCTTGTACTGTTGACATTTCAGCCAAACAGTTCTTTGCTGTGGGGCTGCCTTACGCATTGGCCGGTGTTGAGCAGCACCCCGGCCTCTCCCCGCTGGAAGCCAACAGTGAGAGACGGCCGACATACTCAGAATATCCAAATCAATAGTTATTGGTGAATATGAAAGACGTGTCTTTTATTTTATGGAAAAAAAAAAAAAACATAACGGACTTTTTGGCCAACCCAGTACCTTCTCCAATATAGAACTTAGTCTGCAGGAAAGCCACAGAAATCACCAGTGGCAAAACAAAGGAAAAGAGCGAGCCAGCACCGTTACCGCCTGGCAAGAGCTGTCCTGGGTGTCAAGCAAGACGTCTGTGGTTGAAAAGCTCGGGAACAGAGGGGTCAAGCCCTTGGGCTCCACAAAGGACACAGAACCAAGACCGGCCGCGAAGGGCTGGAGCCAGAGCGAACGGGCGAGCTGGGAGAACACCCACCACCCGAGCCGCTGCGCGGGGTGCAGCCGCGGCCTCGCCCGCCCCTAGTGCACGTGAGACACGCCATCTGGGACCGGGACAGAGAGAGGTCCTGCTGGGGCTTCTGGGGCGAGGCTGCAGGGGCGACTGGCACAGAAGGCGCCGTCTGCCCTGAACGGCTGCAAAGCGGCCCAGCACCCACGACACAGCGTTTGCGCAGGACGGCCGACAGGACAGACTGAGACCTCTGGACAGAAGGACAAGAGCTGGCACAGGCTGATGCATCATCCCTGGGCCCTCCTACGAGACCCCGTGCGGAACCGCAGCCCAGGAAGGGATCCAGGCAGTCGCACTGGAGACGGCGGAGAAGCCAGCCAATGACATCGGGAAGTGGCGGGGAGGAGCATCGTGACGTGACGTGACGTGACAAGAAAGGCACCCCACCTTGGTGACCCTCTCTCCAAAACGCGTAGCCCCAGCTAACCCTCAGGCATCGCTGAGCAAACCCAGACTGAGAGATGGCCCACAAAACCACCGGGCCACCCCTTGTCCAAACGCTCAGGGTCCTGGGAACAGAAGATTGAGCAGGTGGCACAGGGAGGTAGCAGGAAAGACGGGAGGCTTCTCTGTTCATCTCTTTACGGAGCTGCGACCCTTAGAACCACAAGGATTCCCTGAAACGAACCAGTAAAACCAAACCGAGACACGGCGCGAACCCCAGGGGACATGCGGAATGACCCCAACGGTGCCACTGGGCCGGGCTGGGCCAGGCGAGGGAGAGCGCCGCCTGGGTCGCTTGGGAACGGCGTCTTGGCCCACAGTCACGAAGCCCACGGGAAGGGCAGACCGTGAACAGGGTGACATCGTTCCCGAAGGCGTCCCCGGGGGTGAGGAAGAGCGCCGGGCGACTTGAAGTGGACGCTGGATTCCTAAAAAAGGAGCGCGCGCACGGCACACAGTGAGAGCAGGGCCTCCCGCGACGCTCCCGACCTACCAGGAACAGCGGCCTCAGGGCGGAGACCCCCAGCGCCCACGACTCGGTGGCCACAGGCAGAGTCCCCAGGGGACGCCGGGGCACCACCCCTCGACGGCAGGTGCTGCTCCCACCACAAAGGCCAAACCTCACTCCGCACCGGCAGGCCAGACGGGCCCAGGAGCAGGGCGCCCACAGCCGCCCGCCTGCACTCCACCCGCGGCCGTCCTGGGGGCCGAGGGACGTGGGGGACGGGGCTGCCAGGGCCGGTGGGGCCCGAGGAGCCGAAGCACAGGCAGGCGGGGGCGGCCGGGGAAGGGGGCCCCGGGGGCCTCCCTACAGCCCAAGCTCGGAGAAGGCCAGGGGCGGAGCAGGAGGGGTGGGGGGCGCCGCCCGGGCGGGGAAATGGGCTCCGGTCGCGAGGGGAGCTGGACGGGAGGCCGCGTGGGGGCTCGCGGGGCTCCCTCCGCGCTTTCCCTGCAGGTCTACAGGTGGGTGCGAACAAAGGCCCCCTCGTCGGCTCTGCTTCACCCGGTGGGAACGTGGCGCTTGAGCCCTGCCGGGCGGCTCCAGCGGCAGCACCGTCTGCTTCTCCCCTCCCGCCCTCGCGTCTGCGGGGCCATCTGCCTCCTCGTGAGAAGCAACAAACCGCGTGCACAGCAGGCGCGGGACGAGGCGCGGGGACACGGAGCATGACCCCGCGACGTCGCAGGTCGCCGACGACCGCGGCAGCCGCCCCCCTGGCGCAGCAGCCGGACCCTGGGTCGGGCTGGGGTTTCGCAGGGTACGGGCTGAGCGAAAGTCTTTAACTACAAATATGTGCACAGCTGATAAAAATTTACTGAAGAACACACGCCCTGCAATTTTAGAGGCAATCTTTCGGAACCGGTCCTCGGGTCTGGGTTACCCATGAACTCGGGGGTATTCAGGCTCACCCCGATTATGAAAACACATCTCCGAAACACCTCACAGTTGCGCTGTTCTAGTTACAAAGAACTTCTCCTTTTCTAGGACGTAGTTTCACCCTGTGTAAGCGAGACTTCATTACAGGAGCTATAAATGGCCCCCGCGCGCGCGGCCGGAACGGTGCGCCCGGCTCTGACGGCCGGTCCCAGCGCGGGCACAGAGCGCTCCCGACGGCTGCCCTTCAGCGCGCGCTGGGCTGGGGACGCACGCAGTGGGGTTTTCTCCAGCAGCGTAAATTTCTGCATTTTAGGGAGCTTTGCTAAAAGTAAATATGTCATTTCAATTATTTACAAATAGGAAAGAAGCCTTAGAGAATGCAAGGGAAGAACAGAGCGTGCCATTTCTGATTTTGAACTTTCTTCACGCACGGAGACCACCTCTTTCTCCCCCACTACAGGACGCCCGCTGAGGCTGTGCGCACCAAGGGAGCGCCCGCGGGTCCATCCGCGAGGGTCCAAGGACGCGCTGAGCGCCGCGTGCAGCCAGCACGCAAGTCACAAGACGCTTCCTTACTCAATTCTGAATCATAAAGTTCACGTTTTCGAGAGCAAGTTTCATAAAATTTTTACTCAAAAAAAATGTTTTACAAAATACCATTCTCCCAAAGAAACGTCTCCCCATGGGCCGTGTAGCTTCCCGCCGCCGAAATCCCCAAATGACAGACACGGGGGCGGGGGGGGGGGGGCAGGGATTTAAATAGCCACCAAGCTGCAAAACCTACAAGAAGTAGATTTTTTTTTAAAGTGCCTTTAAAATACTAAAGCAAGTAATATAATTCTTGAATCTATTTGAAATTTTAAAAGTTTCCTTAAAACGGTCCATATGGTATGCACAACATCACAGCTGGTACAAAACTGCCTGTATTTAGTTCGAAACACAGAAACGATGCACGCGAACAGTATTCTTTGAAAAACTGAGAGGCTGCCACTGCGTCATAAGGCCGAGACAAGAGTGTGGACGGTGTCAGAGTTCATGAAACACGCCGCACGCGACAGAACTCAACGTTTGCTTGGATTTTGGACACCACTGGTAGGAATAAGAGAACCTGCTTCCAGTCGAGCTCAGGACGCCTTATTTCACACCGCAGGGAGCACATCTGCGACATGCATTCTAAACACATGCCAAACTAGGCTTCGGGAGGCAAACGCCCGCTTCCCGGGCAGGGCCTAGTTTTTCTGCTGCAATCTGGCAGCTTTGAACTTTGAAACCCTCTTTGTAACTTCTTCTGATGCTTCCAACGGAACTTCTCTCCGTTCGGGGATCGGGGGCAGCGGAGGATGAGCCCCAGCCGGGTGTGGGGTCACACAGGGAGCTAAAACGTCCTTTTCTATTACGGTTCCAGAAAAAGCCTAGGAGACAAAAGTCAGAGCATCGTAGTAAGAAGCAAGTAAGATGCCCACAAAATGCTTTACCCTGTGTTTGCCAATTACACATTTCTTTTCCTTAAAAGTAAGTTCAACCCTGGCTGGTGTGGCTCAGTGGATTGAGTGCTGCCTGCAAACCGAGGGGTTGCAAGTTCGATCCCCTGTCAGCACACAGGCCTGGGTTGTGGGCCAGGTCCCCAGCTCAGGGCATGCAAGAAGCAACCAACCAGTCTTTCTCTAGCTCATCGATGCTTTTCTCCCTCTTTCTCCCACCCTTCCCATCTCTCTAAATAAATAATCTTTTAAAAAAATGAATTCCTAAGATTTTTGTATAAAGACAAAACACCAAAATACAAGTTGTTCAGAGAAATCAAATACCATTAAAATATCTTAATCACACTACCAAATTTAAGTCCATTTTTATACTACACACACAAGAAATCAAATGGTAAAATACCTTTTATTTACCAAAAACGAGTAAATAGAGGCCCTCAACTTTTATATATTTTCCACTTGTGGCCAACCCACACTGGGAAAAAGAAGGTATTACAAGAAAAACCGCGGCCGGTGTCGGCAGCAGCTGGCGCGCGGGGCGCAGGCCACATGTCCGCAGGCAGCAGGGACGTCGCCAGGCAGTGCCGGCCGCGCGGCCAAGCCCCTCGCTGCGCCCGGCCCCAACTTTTTAAGGGGAAACGGAGAAGCGACCGTGCCGAGGCTGGTGGAAACGCGTGTCTGTTTCACACGCTAATACGACGGCCTCACTGATGGAGCCAAGGGCTCCGCAACGAATGCTTCCTGCACTTCAGTGGGGTGTTTGCTGGATTTCTCTGCTCAAGTGCATGTTCTACTAGAGCAAAAGTAATGCATACAAAATGCTGGAAATATGATCAAAGAGTCATCCTTACATATCATTTTACACAGACATCTATAAAAATCAAGGGGCGATCATAGCGGTTTTTAAAAGATTTCTGGTCTTTGGAGCCTCCCCCCTTTCATCTTCTAAGATGCATCAACTGAAGTCTGGCTCGTTGACTGCCACGCACAGTCTGCCTGCCTTTGGGTGTCAAGGGCACAAGGTTACGACATGCGTTACTTGCATAGTTTTATTTTTATAAATTGTTATCAAAAAAAAGGACAAGCCTGGAATTAACGAGGTACTATGACTTGTGAGAATAAATATATGTATAAAGTGAAGCCAGAAGAAAACCATGCCATTGCCCCGTGGTCTAACTTCATAAATGAATGCGTAAAATAAAAAGAACTGAAAAAACAAGCACAGACCATACCTGAAAGGCGTAGCCGCTGCACTTCTAACACAGCGAGAGAACGGCCTCTTTTAAAGAAGTGTTTTTCCTAATTTTGTTAACCAGCGTCACCCAATAAATCCAATGAAAAGAGTAAACAAAGGGAGCATCTTTCCAACGCTATCAATCACCCTGGGAAACGGCCGTGGCCAACGCCTGCCCTCGGACGGCGCGCCACCACCCGCCAGCAGGGGGCGCGCACCTGCGCCACGGGCGGTCCTGACGGGGCCTCGGGACCCTGCGCCGGGCCCTCCGGCTCCTCCTCCGCGATGCTCTCGCTGGCGTCGCTGCCCGCGGCCTCCTCCCAGCTGAGGCCCCGCAGCAGCCCACGGCGCTCCTCGAAGTCGGCGGCGCTGCTCTCGCTGGTGTCGCTGCAGACGCTGTTCTCCCGGCTACGCGACTTCAGGATGGACTTCCGAGGGACGTACTCCCCGTTCACGACGTCCACGAAGACCCTGCGCGGCCACAGGGCACACTCGCGTTAGGGGCGCCAAGGCGGGGGCGTGAGCCCAGGCGCCGGCCTTCCCTAGAAATTAACCTGAACTGTTCTACTCGAACTCCGTCGAAAATCTTCACACACGGCCTACTTTACATGCGGCCGAAAACGGCAACTGAGGCCCCGTAAAACACGGCACCTATTTACAAACGCGTGCGGGGTGGCGACAGCTCGATCGGCCCAAGCCCCACGGACAATCCAGACCCACTTAGAAGGCAGTCGGCTACCCGTGCGGTTCTACAACCGAGAGTAGCGCCAACGGCCTCAGCAGACACGCAGCAGAGGCTGGGTCTGCGCCCCGCGCCCCGCCCCGGCCCAGAGGAGTCCCGCCGCCAGCCCGCCCTGGCCCGCTGGGAAGCGCCACAGGCTCGGGCGACGGGGCAGGGCTCGCCCAGCGACGCCGAGGGCTGCGGGCAGGGCACCCCGCGGCCCCGGAGGCTCGGCGCCGCAGGGCCGCGCGCACCTGTAGATGTCCGCCGGGGTCCTGATCGTCGGCGGCTCGGGCGCGGCGTGGCCACCGCCACAGCCGCTCTTCCGCTTCCGCTTGGCTTCCTCCTTCTTTTCACTGAATTTTAAAGTGGTATTTTTTCCAGTATTTATCCGAACCTAAAAGTTTCACAGCAAAAAATTACAATCCTTCTGAGAAATGAGGCCAAGGCCAAAACTAGGGCCAGTACCGCCGTAACTAAAAACACATAGGAAGAGAGTCCCCGATTCTGTGGGAACGACAGGCAGCGTCAGGCAGGGCCCGAGGTGCCCCCTGAACCGCAGCAGACCTGACAGTACTCGACCGGCCCCGCTAACGGCTGACGAGCCTCCGGCGCCTCCGTTTCACACGGAGGGACGGTGGCCCAGCAAGAGCAGCGCTGAGCGGGGCGGCGCCCACCCCACCCCCGCACGAGCCCTCCCGCTGGCGGGCAGGAGCAGGGACCCAGGCGGCCCGCAGGCGCGTGTTCCGCGCGTGCTCAGGGTCCGGGACACTCTCTGCCCGCGCTGCCCTTCCAGTAAGAGTACTGCGCGCAGGGCGTGGCCCCGCGGGACACGCGCTGGCCGACAGGGTCTGTGACCCCGCGGCCTCCGGTCGGCGGGGGTCCCTAGCAGCTAAGTCTGGGGGCGTCAGGCAGATTTCCGACTGGGTGGGGTCGGCCGCCCCGAGCGCGCACTGTCCAGGGGTCAGCTGCACGTGCCGGCCGAGCGCTGCGTTCCTGAGCTGTCCCAGCACCCGCGGCTGCAACGTGGAATTCTGGCTTACATCACGCATTTTACAACAAATGGCACAACTGTGAGAACATCAACTTTTAAGTCATAAAAGCACTATCAAATAGTGCTTAGGGTTTAACATTTCTTCAGTACCTCTGATCTTTAGAAATGGGACCACAGCGGAAAGCCAACCCCGCCAGGGCGCACGCGGGCCTGGGCCCTGGGGCGCCGGCCCTGCCTGAGCGCCCCGTCCGCGACTGGCCTGCCCCGCGACTGGCCCGCAGGCGTCACCGGTTCTTCCTGCCTCGTCTCACCAAGGGAGAAGGGCGTAAAGCCCGGGGAAGCGCAAAACAAACTGTTTTCCTGACCAATCCGTCACGTTTCCCACAGAATTCACAAAACGCTTCTCTCAGCGTGAAGTATTAGAATATTTACAAAACCATGTAATTATCGCACTTCGCCTTCGAGCAAGGATACGTGCAGGCCGGGACGTGAGAAATACCAAATGCGCCTCCAGCGCGTTGCACCGCCTGAGCGCCGCAGCGCCGTCCCGCGAACCCCCGCGCCCGGGCGAGCAGACGAGCGCCTCCGGGGGCCAGAGCGGAGCAGCGCCCTCCGCGCCGAAAGGCCGCATTCTCCGGTCGTCACTGCCCACAGGCGTTTCTCTCCGCTCTGTCGGAGGGGCGGCTGGTGTTCACTTCCCCCTAAATTCTCCCCTCCTGTTCACAGTGTTCCTGTTCGGCTTATGCCCACAGAAACGACGACTGGGGTGATTCAACATTTAACTGACGCAGTCACTTCCAAACGCCCTAAACGCACCCACGTGCCCCCTAGAGAAGCGACGCTGGAGTCCCTAGGAAAGCTCTGGGAATGGAGGGCAGGTGGACTTACCGCAGCTGCCACTCAGACCCAGCCCCTCCCCGCGGCCAGCATGGCTCCGTGGCCTGAGCGCCGGCCTCCAAACCCAAGGACCACCGGTTGGATCCCTCGTCAGGGCAGGTACCTGGGGTGATGGCCAGGTCCCCAGCAGGGGGCGCGTGAGAGGCAACCACACATGGGTGTTTGTCTCCCTCTCTTTCTCCCTCCCTTCCTCTCTAAATAAATAAATAAATAAAATCTTTTCAAAAAAGTAGAAAGAAAGGAAAAAAATCCGATCCTCTTCCAGACCCCGAATGGCTCATACGCCAACCAGTGTAGCCGCCGGGGACAGCAGCCCAGCACCGGCCGACTACCGACACTTCTTTCCTTTTGTTTTCAGGTAAGTTGGTCAGAACAAGAGGCAACGGTGGTGTTCTGGTTTGTCACCACCGACGTACTAATCACTGTTAATGCTGCTCTTTTAGAAAACACCGTAGATGCTGTGTAATGTTCAAATTACATGCCAAATTAGTAAAATGGCGAGTATACAAACCCTCTTGGGCTCCACAGTATGAGAAAAGTATATTGTTGGCACAGGACTGTCTCCAGCCCCCAGAGCGGCGTGGACAGGCCCGCTCTCGCCGTCCGCGTCCTCATCCTCGTCCTCGTCACCGTCGCTGTGATGAGAACGCGGCCCGTTCACTGAGCAGGCCGCGTGGCCGTTCACCTGGCCGCTGAGCGGGTCGCACCCCAGCGCTTCCCCGTCGCAGCGGCTGGGGGCCGCGGGCGCCGCCCCCGCAGGCCGCCCGTTCACATCTCGGCGCTGCTCCTCCGGCTCCTCTGCAGAAGACGGTGAATCGTCCCCGTTGGCAACCACCGTATCAGGCTTACTGGGAGGAAGAGGAGGGAAAGAGAACAATCAAACGAACACAGAATCTTATTTTCTCATTTTCATTTCATTTCAATGGTTAAAAATTAAGATTTTAAATAGGATACTTTTGAAACTAGAATTCTAGGTTAGTAAGAAGTTTCTGAAGTTAACAGAAAAACCACCGCTCCTAGGCCGGTTCTGTGAGTTGTGATGCACCGAACATGAGCAGGACCCCGAGCAGATGATCGCTCATCTTTGCAGGGAGGACACGGGCCCTGCCCGACAGATGCCAGCACCATGTGACCACCAGAAACACGGGAGAAAGTCACAGGGACGTGGATCTCTGTATAAGGTCAGAAATGAAAGCCGCAGGACCGTAACAGAGCCTTATTTCCTGTCTACCTCTACATTCAGAACATTTTACGAGCATTTATGACTGTAATTTTTAAAAGTAACGTGTACCAGTGCACGTGAATGTGTTGGGTCAGCCCAAAAGTCCGTTCGGATTTTCCTGTCCGATGGCTCTAGTAGCATTTAGTTGTCTCTAACTTCATTCCCAACACTTTTGTTAGACTGTATTGTAATAGCTGTCACATCAACATGCATTTTTTAAAAAATCAAAATTGGTGAATTTTTGTGTGGCCATTTTATTACTGAAAATGGAAGAAAATACGTAACATTTTTCGCATATCATGCTTTATTTCAAGAAAGGTAAAAACACAACTGAGATTTAAAAAAAAAAAAAGAAGATCCATGCTGTGTATGGAGAGGGAACTGTGACTGATCGAACGTGTCAAAGTGGTTTGCTAAGTTTCATGCTGGACATTTCTTGCTGGACGATGCTCCACGGTCAGGTAGACCAGTTGAAGTTGAGAGCGATCCAATCGAGACATTAATTGGGAACAATCAACATTATACCGCACAGGAGAGAGCCGACATACTCAAAATATCCTAATCAATCAAGTTATTGGTGAACATGAACAATGTGTCTTTTATTTCATGAGAAAAACTACACGGACTTTTTGGCCAACCCGGTAGTTTTATTTATATGCATACACACATGCAGATTTCTCATGGTTCATTCTACAAAGGATCCGAGCACCTTATAAAAATAACAAAACCAAAACTGCAATAGAACCGAAATACTGTCATGCAAAAAAAGAGAAATCATGACCAAGAAAATCATAAGATTCAAAACTGATTTGAAAACATAAGAAGAATCAGTGACTCAGAATCAGTAACTCAGAAAGGCCTACGAATGCCCAGGTTAAACGGCAGGAGAAAATCTGCTGTCTGTGCTTCGGTCCCGTTTTGCGCAGAAGCGAACGGCCACACACGGCACCTTGCCAAAGCCACGAGCACGGAGCCCGGGCAGCGACGGGCCCACGGGCACCGGGACACCCCGCGGGGGCCGCCTGAGCGGTCACACAGCGCCTGCTCGCCACACAGAAACACAGAGGGGGCGAGGACAACACGTCACAGCAGCAAACTCGCTCCAGGCACACTTCCCTTTCCACAAGTTAGCCAGACATACAGCACTCTCCTGACTACAGCATAAAATGCTTCACTTAAAACGAAGTAAGTAAAGCCTCCATAGTAACTGCAAGCCAGCTGCCGGCTCCTGTCAGCACTTCACGGCAGAAAGCCTGGCTGAAGCATCACAGCTACCAAAATGGGGACGTGCGTGATAAGCACGTCTGTACCCAGGTGCACGGGCGCGTGTGTGAACCCAGCCCGACAAGAAAGTATTCTGGAGAATTAACATTTATTTTAGGGTGGCAGGATAATTGATGTTTTAATAGATTATGCTTTTCTGCCTTCTCTTCAAGAAGCACCTATTATTTTATTAATGAGGAAAAAGATTAGCAAGGAAGCGTGTATGGAAACATGTTCTCGCGGAAGGACAGCTGGTCGCTGGTACCTCTCAAGTTCACCCCGCGACTCTTCTTGTCTCTCTAGTTCTTCAAGCCGAGCCCACAGTTCCTCGTCGGCAAGTGAATCCTTGGGTTTTACATCATTTGCAAAATCTGCTTCAAAAATATCTGAAGTTTTGGGTTTGGAGTGAGGTTTATGAGCAATCCGGTGTTTAG